ATGGGGCTACAGGCACAGCTGTGCGCAAAGAAATATTAGAAGTAACCTGTGTTTGCAAAAGAGGGGAGAGTGCATTCTATGGGGCGATAAAAGAAAATAAAGAGTTCCCATGTTCTCTGCAACAGAAAGAAAAATAAGGCAAATTAACACAGAACATTCAGCAACATCTGTAATTGGAGTGCAGAGAGAGGAGAGTGCACACTAATGGACAGAGATAAAATGGCTAATGAAATGGCTTTAAAAGAAAACTTTTTTTTTCCAGAAAACACTTCTAAAAAAGAATTTTTCCAGTGGTTAACATACTGGCATATTGCCCACATGCTGGCAAATAGAACTCTCTAAATATATTGCATTTATAACTACAAGTTGTGTCCTTCATTCTTAGAGAAAGTTATTGTATTACAATTGTATTATATATAATAATTTAAATAACAGTCCATCACCTACCAATGGTCAGAGTATTAGTTTGCTGCATCACTAGGATGAGACACTGATGAAAAGATCGTGCAGAGAGCTGAGTCAAGAAGCAGGCTAAATGGATCCATGGGAAGCTCTCTTGCAACAGTGAAGGTATTTGCATTTTAAGGCATACATGATATTGTGAAATTCTAAAAAAAAAACCCCTCTAAACTGAAATTACTGGGTATACTTGATGCAGGCTTTATAAGTTGCATTTGGAGCTTAATGGCTGTTTTGGATAATTTAGCAGGCATGTGATGAATTCAGTGTTTGCTGGAAGTTTGCCATCTAGTGGACTTATGGGCTGAGTCTATACTTGTATTTTTCACAGGAGTGTATGGGGTGAAGATATGTGGGGAAGCAATGAAAAATGCATATTCACTTTTAAAAAGAGAGAATGTATTATAATATAATGTTATTCCAGTTGTAAGCCATGTATTTATTTAAACTGTAAACACAGTAGAATATATTTTGTCCAAATTCAGCTATTTCCTTTATCCAAACATGCTTCCTGTTGCTTATCATGCCTTTTCCTGACTATACAAGTTCTTAACTTGAGCTGCAGTCCTAAATGCCCTTACCAGTGAATAAGACTCAATGCACGCAGTGGGACTTACGTTTGAGTAAGCATGCATTATGGTTGTACTGTTAAGAAATACACCAAGCTGGAAAGAGTAGAAGCAAAGTGAAACTTTATTTATCTGATATGGTAGAATACACTTAATTGATAAACTGATGGACAAGTTTAGTCCTATGGGTGCTTAGCAAGTCCTGAAAAAGCTAGGCTAGCTGGGGCATATTGAGAGATGTAGGGCATTCTCCTGTCTCAACATGCATAGGTTAAGGTTTCACCCATAATGGAGAAACCCTATACCAGTGTACTCAGAGATAAGCCCCACTAAGTTCAATGTGATTTCCTTTAACTGTGTATAGAATAGGATTGCATCATTCTTTTGGCACTTAAGGGCGCAGTCCTATGTATGTTTAACCATAGAAAGGTCTATAGCTCCCAGCATACCCCAGCCAGCCATACTTGGGGAATTATAGACCATTTTTCCGTCTAAACCTGTGTAGGATTGTACCTGAACCTTATATGACTTATTCTAACTCGATATTTCCTGTATTTTTTCTCATCACAAAACATTATTTTTGCTCATTTTGAACATGTAATGAAACTGCATTTATCAGTAGTTAATAGGTCATACTAACTAGCATCATACTAACGTCAGTATGAGCTATACTGGGGCACCTATCTGTGCAAAAAACAGGCTTCAGGAGGGGTCTCTGCACCTCTCCAATTTTAATGTTCTTTGCTTTCAGGCTATGACATTACTACTGCTAAATACATACCATTCATTTCAGATGCGCTTCAAATTATTATATGACTCATCTGTGTAAGCCTGTAAGTGAAAAAATAGGCATTTATATTGCTTTTGGAACTCAAATCTGGAAGCTGCTTCTCAGCTTGTGCTATCGGTAGATTTGTTTCAGTGACCTTTAGAAAATTAATCTGAAATAGTGAACTGACTTCAGCAGCATTCTGAATCCTCCTGCCATAAATATATGATAATTGGAGAATAGCATACCATGTGTTACATATCACAGTCACTCAAGGTTCAATAATGAGAGCAAGGAAATAACATCTCTGGGTTTGGATATACTACAGACCCAGATACATGAATGAACATTCTCCATTATCTCTTTGCAAATTCTCACTACTGAGAAGTTCTGATTCATAAAGTGCAATCATACATATTATCAGCACTCAGTAAGGTATACTGGGTATTTTTGAAATATGGGCTACCAGAAATCATACTGACAAGTAGCTCCAGGCAGCATATTATTGTTTTATAAGATTCATTGAAGAAGCTGGGCCATAGTCAGAAGATAATGTTTCTGTCTTTGAGCAATTATACTTTTTGCACAAATGGAAAATTCCTTCACTTTGGGGGCTTTAACCAACATTCAATGGCTAGGTTTACACAATCATTTTGAACCATGGTGGCTTATTTAAGTGGGTGGCAGTTTAGTAACCCAGCCCCCAGTCACAGGTTGTCAGATCAGTGGAACCCTGTTGAGGTTGGGTAGTTTATTAGTTTTATATCCCACCTATTTCTTTTTTTAAAGCAGCTTACATAATTTTCTGCCTCCTATTCTCAATCTTATCACCACAGATAAGATTACATCATTAATCATTAATGATGATTATTAAGCTTACATCATTCACCTCCTCCATCTTCTTCCCACAACAACAACCCTGTGAGGTAGGCTGGGCTAAAAGTCTGTGACTGGCCCAAAGTCACCCAGTTGGCTCCATGGCTGAGCTACTGTGATTAACAAACCACTCAAAACCAGCAGGCTTTCTCAGGATTGTGGGTGGCAACAATCCACCCTCACTGGGTTTGGACAATACAACAACCAGCAAGCGGGTACTGGTTTACAAAACAGGTGCCCAACACATATCCCACAAACCATGGTGGATTTTTAGGCTTCAGTGGATTAAAATGATAGCGCAAACCAAACCAGTTTGTACAATGAAGTTGCTTTGTTTCTTGTTAGGCAGATTTTTAAAATTCAAAGACACTGGCTTACGTGCACAACAATTTCTAGTAATTAAAGTTATTTATGTCTCCTAGTGGTGGTAGTGAGGTGGTGGTGGAAAGCAGCTTTTTTTAAATTTCTCTGTTATGACTATAATTATTCACAAGTCTAAAAAGACAAAACAAAATGTTCAGCTATTGAAAACAAGAAACCAGAGTTGCAAAAGAAAGGAAAACACTGCAGTTGGCAAACAAAAGCAATATTTACAAGAATATGATTACATGTACAGTTTAACCGGGCGCTGAAGCTGGAAGAGTGCAGTTAGCTCTTTGTCATTAGCAGATTCTTAAAAGCAGTAAGTTTGTTGCTGCCTTTGCTTAGTTAACTGCAGCTTTTCAGTTTTAACACCCCATTAAATTATATACCTCACAATATTAAAGGTGAAGTAAAGGCAGAGATGATACGGGCACTTGACAGAGTTTAGAATGTAAACAAAAGCATTAACTGGAGGCAACTAGTACTTCTGGCAGCTTTAAAAAAAACATTAGGTTAAGCTAGGCATGGGCTGACTTGGGGTTTGTCAGATCTATGTTGTTATTTTACTAGAACTCCAGCTGGAGCCTGGCACAAAAGACATACGCTTAGAACTAAGGTGTTCTGAGCCCAAGAACTAGTTCTGTATTCCAGAATTGAACGGTACTCAGGGTTCTTCCACACCTGGTTTACCCTGCTCTTCCTAAGCTGCTGCAATATAAACTGGGGACAGGAAGGATTCATGCTTATTGCTAAGAGCCAGAAATTATCCACCACACATCATCCAAAGATCTACCAATAGATTCAGAATCACCTCCTGCCCACCCGACCTAAACTGTCAATATTCTTACTATTTCCATCTTAGCTTTACTTTCATTAGTGCAATTCTTTTCACACTTAATCGTGGTTTACACCCGCATAATCTTGGAGAGGCTTGATCTGCATGGCTTCAGCCGTCGGACGCGCATAAGCAGTCCCCGAACCCTTCGGACACGAGTCGCGAAGGTGCCTTTCCATGCCCAGGAAGCTCCCTGCTTTGCTTTTTCTGCCTATCAGATGCTGGGGCAACGCCTAATAAAGGCGTTCCCACACCACGCCACGTCTATTACAAGGTTTAAAATCTTGCTGCAAATCTTTGTTCCGTTACTTAATACAATTATAGTGAGGTTTTAATCCATTCATTTTAAAGAAAAACTATAAACTGCCTCCTAAAATATACTTCCTAAGTCATTAAGAAGAGAAAAAGCTTCGAACCCTTCTCAGCCTTTATGCTTTTAAGGCTGCAATCCTATACACAGTTAGCTAGGAGTAAATGCTCCACTAAACTCAGTGGGACTTACTTCTGAATAGACATGTATAGGAACGTGCAGGAAGGCTCTCTGAGCTGCCACCCTGCTTTCTCTTTAGCCACAGCTGCTATTCCTTTCCTAAGCGCACGTCGCCTGCCTAACGCACGCACGCACGCACGCACGCAGCAGCACCTCGTGGACGCCCACTAGATTTAGTTTGTCTGCTGCTGCTGCTGCTACAATAGCGCTTTTCCTCCTTGCATTTAATCACGGGCCGTTGACTTAACTGCCCTCTGGCACGGGGTGAAAAGAAAACGGTAAGGCCACATTCATTGCAGTTCATCCTCCCGCGTTCTCTTTTCGCTCTGCAGCTCTACTAACCCAAAGGGAAACACGAAGGCCAATACCATTCACAGGCGGTGGGGGTAGGAGGGAGAGTTGTCACGCTCTGGTTTTCTCTCCACAGCGGGCAATGGTGAGTGGGCGTGGTCTGCCTGGGGTGTGGGCGGGGTCCGGAGTGACTCCCCCCTCTCGATCGAGGTGGGAGTGGTAGTGCCCACCCCTCCGGAGCGGAAGTGCTTGACGGACGCGCTCGGCGTTCGCTCGCTTCGCGCGTCGCGCTCCCGCAAAAGCCGCCGCCGCCGCCGCCGCCGCAGCCCGTGAGGAAAGTTGGGCTCCAGCTCCTTCTTCGCGGGCGGCGTCTCGGATGCGGCGGAAGCAGAAGCGGCTGCTGCAGGCGGTGGGGCTGGCGCTGGCCGCCCTCGCGTTCCTTCCGAACGTAGGACTCTGGTCCCTTTACCGAGAGCGGCAGCTGGACCCCGGCGGCAGCGATGGCAGAGACGGCGGGGGGGGCGGCGGCGGCGGCGCGGGGGGAGCCCGCGGGGCGATGGTGGCGGCGGCGGCTGCGGTGGCGCCGCCGGGAGCAGCGGCCATCCGAGAGGAGGCGCAGGTGAGAAGCGATCCGAGCGGCGGCGCATCCTCTCCCTCCTTCCCGCCGGTGCCTTTGTGGTTGCTCCGGGGAAGAGCCGCAGCTCCCTCGAGGGTCCTGCTGCGGGCGCCACGACGGCTCGGACCGCGTTCTTCGCCACTTACGCTGCCTGTTTCGTCCCCGGTTCTACGGCCTGGTGACGGAAGAGGAAGCCGTTTCTGTCTTGGGGCGAAGGGTCGCTGGATATCAAGGAAGGGAGGCTGGCTCGGCTAAGAGAGGCATTGGCAGCGGGCAGCAGAGACCTGCCCGTGGGGTCCAACTGAATGTATCAGGATGAAGGGTGAAGAACCATTAAGAATTGGGCAGGGCAGAGAAAGGAAGCAGCGCTTCCTTTAGATTAGTAAGGGCGCGAGAGCCAAAGCATTATCCCCGAAGACGGAGTCGGGACTGGCGGGGGGAAGCAAGGAAACGCCAAGGATAAATATTTGTGGTGGGTGAGTTGCAACATGAGTCTGTATAGTAAATGCCGAAGCTGATTCCTCCACCCCAGCACGACCGGAGTAACTTGCATTTGGTAGGCGCTACTCCATACCGATCCTCCTCGTCCTCATTTAGATTGGAGGGATCAGTGAAATCTTCTAAGGAAAGATTTTGGGCCACAGTGACTCCCACTACTATATTCAGTGAAGGGTTTGAAGCTAGAGTAAATAAAACAGTGTTACATTCATGCGTGTCAGTTTGAGATCATAGGCAGTTTCCTTTTGGATTAGATAAATTCATAGGGTGATTTTTCAAGTGGGCAGGCACTCTGGTTATAAAGTGGGATTTCAAACCTTTATTGATAGCCTTGGTGTTAAGGACTCTTGCATTCCCCCCCCCCCATTAACACGTGGTTGGCTTCCTAGTCATCTTGGTACCCTGGCATTAATGAGAACTAGATCCTAACGTAACTAAGCTTCTTTGTTGCAATGTTCTCATTGTTACTGTCACCTTAGACAGTCAAAGAGTGTAAGACTGCAGTTCTGTACACCTCTACCCTGGGAATAACAGCTGCTTTGTGCACCTGATGAACCGAACTCTTATTCCCTAAATCTTTTTGTCTTGAGTATGCCACAAGACAAGAATAAGTCTCATTAAAATGAATGAGATTTGGTCAGGTTTCCCCTTTTTATGGGTCTTATCATGGACACAGTGATGTGAAAATGTTGTCATAGTACATTTTATTTAAGCAGAGAAGACTTTCATGGTAATTGAGTTTTTCCTTCTATAAAAGGAAACATTCTGCAGAGACCATAATGCTGTATTGTACAAATGTGAGAATTCTGTCCTCCTTTATTTATTCCTAATGATAGTGAGAGGCCTGGCCTATTCATTCAAGATAAAACATCATGAAACAAGAACATACAGGAACTGTTGAAAGTATTGAGAACACTGTTTCTACTTGCATGCTAGTTATAACTTGGGCCCTGCTTATATTGTCTCATACCTTGGCTTTTGCTTGTCCTCCTATTTTCACATCTCAATTCTCTCACTGCATTTCAAGTCTTTAGAAATCATAGTCACCTTAAAAGTGAGTAAGATAAGCACAAGCCTTGTTCACAGCTAGGGAAGGGGAAAGTGCTTGGGGTGGGAAATTCTATCAGAGGTTTGTTAAAATATCTGGGTTTGAATGATCAAGTACTGACTATTAAGCAGCTTCCATGCATACACAGTCCTTTGCAGCTGCTTCACTCCTTCCTTTTCACAAGCATCAAGGGGAGTTAGAATCCAGACTTCCTTATAGTTTCTTTTAATTAATATATCCATTTTAAAGCCAAGAGTAGGTCAGCTTTAAACCATGACTTGAAACTAGTTTAGAAATCTCAGTTTGCTTAGAAGTTCTTAACCATTATTCCTGGCTCATAGACATTAGGAAATGATGGTTCCTCCTGACTTGTTCCCTTGCTTGTGCCTTCTGAGGCACTCCATGGTTTGCTGCTGTTTAGATTAACGGGGTTTTTTTTAAGTAAATATGCTTATTGGTGGTATAAGCATTGGATATTACATGTGAATGCAGCTAATCTGTTGATTTAATGTGTTGTAGGGAACTTAGTATGAGAACTCATCTGTGGCTTCACAGATGCTATTCTATTATGCTTATCTTGCACGTGGATATTTGGTGCAGTATAAGCATAGGCTGGGGGTTGAGAAAGAGGAGGCTAAGCTCTTTGTAGGAGTTGTGTCTCTCTCTCCAAACCTTTTATCTACATGAGTACCCATTTGAAGTGCTTGTACTGTATAAAATCAGTAAGGTCAGGTGGGATTTGGCTGGTATATTATTCAACATGCTGCCAAGCTGTTTCCTTGACTGAGCTAATAGAGGTAGTCTCACATTTGGTGTTGAGGGCTCCCTGGTGGATGTCCTGGTGAACTTTAGTATCCATGTCAGGATACTTTAGTATCCATGTTAATGGGAGAAATATCAACAACCTCAGATATGCAGATGATAATGGCAGCAAGTGAAGAGGAACTAAAGAGCCTCTTGATGCGGGTGAAGGAGGAGAGTGCAAAAGTTGGCTTGACACTTAACATTAAGAAAACTAAGATCAAGGCATCCAGTCCTATCACTTCCTGGCAAATAGATGGGGAAGAAATTTATTTATTTATTTATTTATTTATTTAAACATTTCTATGCCGCCCCTTGCCGAAGTCTCGGGGCGGCTCACAACATAAAAGAAAATACAATAAAATACAAAAATAACAATATAAAATTAACAGTATAAAAGAAGTCGCCCTGGACATGGAGGTAGTGACAGATTTTATTTTCCTGGGCTCCAAGATCACTGCAGACGGGTACTGCAACCAAGAAATTAAAAGATGCTTGCTCCTGGGGAGGAAAGCTCTGGCAAATCTAGACAGCATACTAAAAAGCAGAGACATCACCCTGCCAACAAAAGTGCGTATAGTCAAGGCTATGGTTTTCCCAGGAGCAAG